TGTGTGTGTGTGTGTGTGTGTGTGTGTGTGTGTGTGTGTGTGTGTGTGTAAACGCAGGTTAGGGTCAATCAGTCGTGTGTTTGTTGATACTTTCAGAGAAAGGTGAACCAGCTACTGCTTCTGGGAATTATCCATAGTGCTGATCATGTTTGGGGGCTGTTTTGTGTCTGCGCTTTGTGGTTTGACTGCAGTTACGCATGTCAACCATTTATTTATTTCCTGTCATCAAGGTCTCCATTGAAGCAGCATGAGGGATGAGCAAAAAAATCCTAACCTATAGGTGACCATAGACACTCATATTTGCACATTGGGCCACGGGTCTGATGTGATTAATTGAAAGATGTATTCACAAAACAGTCTAGGTAGAGCATCGTTTGGTTAGATATGTTAAATGTCGTCTAAAACCAAGTAGCTGTCCATGATAAATAAGAGGGTCTAATCTGGCAACATTTTGATCTTTCAGTGTGGCTGTACCTATGAAAAGTGATGAAAGTAATTGTTTAAGGTAAAAGCTTGAGACAGAAGTTTAAATCCTGCCTACTTTCTTGTGTAGAGAGGAGGTGTTTCAACCACTTTTTTCAGTTCACCATGTCACATGCCTCCGATAAGAGTGCAACAAATCCTAAAACTCCCGGTTCGGATCGTATCATGAAATGGAGTCATGTATCGGATTGGATCAGCACAAAAGTATTGTGTATTTGTTTAAAAAGTTTTGGTAACACTTTATAATAACTACACACTATGAAGCATTAGTTAAGTATGAGTAAACACTTAATTCATCATTTATCAAGCATTGTTCCTACATTAACACTCATTACTATGCAGTTCAGAACAGTTATAAATGTGTTATTCTTGATTAATAAGCTTGTCTATTATGTGTTTCATTATTGTGTCTTCATACTTTATAAATGATAGATTCCCCATTTGTAAATGAAGTATTATATATTTTACAAACCAATTATTAAGGAGTTGTAGATGATTATTATCATCATTTATAAAGTGTTAGTAAATGATTAATAACTTATTTAGATGTACATTATTCATGCATTTATAATGATGATATGCACTAATGGTTAGGGACTATGTTAATATATGCTTTATAAACACATAGTAATATTGCAATTCATGATTAATTCAGGTAGTTACTAGTTGTTACTTAGGTGTTTTGTGTGAAGTCTAAAGTGAGGACTATTTATGCCTTACAAAGCATTTATTGACATTGAAAGGCCAGCAGTGCCTCAAAACCCATAGTTTTACAACAGAAAAGGCAAATAGACACAACACAAAGTGATCAAGAACATATCAATATTTATTGCAAGATGCAAAAAATGTACTCGTAAAAACATACCTTCATTCGTGTAAAAAAACAAACAAACAGATTCTCCTTCAGGAGAACATGGCTGGGTATAAAACGTTCACATTCACTCCACTCTTATGAACAGATAAATGGTCATCTAATGTTGTCATCCTACAGTTAGCCAACTGTCTCCTGGATTGCTCTATTTTACAACAGAGGTGACGCGGTAGCATGTGCCATCACAGTACCTCTAGTTAGTGACTTGCTAGCTGCAAGGCTAGCTAGATACTCATCCTCCTAAATGTGTCCGTGCCAGCAAACTAAGAAACATGCTGTCGGATATTGGAGGCCCGTTAGCAGTCTTTCTTTCTGGCCCGGGCCCGTGCGCCCTTTCTACTTAGGTCGGAGTTTTCCATAGCGTAAGTGCACTTCCGTATCAGTTCCTTAGCAAAACGTTTGTCTCACGTTGATGACGTGTTAAGTGGGCTTTTACTTTGTCTCACAATGATGACATATTGAAAGCCGGATTTCTCTCGATTTCACATATTTCGTGGATCAGATCATAACCTCATGGATGTCTTCCTAAAACCACCACCATCCAAAGCATTATTTTTTGCAAATAATGAGCAGATTCGGCCGGCTGCCATCGGGACATGCAACTGTGCAGCCTCCACCTGTCAGTGGATCACTAACTTCCTGACAGACAGGACGCAGCAGGTGAGGCTGGGTCAGCACTGGGTTCCACAATCTCCCAGGACCTAAAGTGGACCTCCAACATCGACGCCATCAGGAAGAAGGCCCAGCAGAGGTTGTACTTCCTGCACCTGCCTCAGGAGCTGCTGATCCTGTTCTACTCAGCCATCATCCAGTCTGTTCTCTGCTCCTCTATCACTGTGTGGTTTGGATCGGCCACTAAACAGGACAGAAACAGACTGCAACGGACTGTCAGCTCTGCAGAGAGAATTATTGGTTCCAGCCTGCCCTCCATCCTGGACTTGTTCACCTCCAGAGTCAGGAAATGGGCAGGAAAGATCACTGCAGACCCTTCACACCCTGGACACAAGCTGTTCCAACTCCTCCCCTCTGGTAGGCGCTACAGGGCTCTGTACGCCAAAACCACCAGACACAGGAACAGCTTCTTTCCACTGGCCGTCACTCTGATGAACAGTTAATCAGTCATACTGCACTATTACCTCTGTTTGCACTATTACCACCATCACGTTAATTCCATTGCCATTGTTGTTGTATAGGTTTATGTTCATATACAGTATAAATATATATACTTTTGGATGTATATTTATATTGTACATAGATGTTACATGTTTATACTTACATCTGTTCTACTTTTTTTGTTGTCCTTGTTTTATTTCTTATATTTTTCTTGTTTATTGTAAACGTGTATGTACGTTGAGAGCAATGTGTAAACCGGAGTCAAATTTCTTGTATGCGTACGCATAATGGCCAATAAAGCTGATTGATTCTGATGATGATTTAACTGTGAAATTAAACTGCAATTCACATGGATGGTAAATGGACTGTACTTGTATAGCTCCTTTCTAGTCTTCCAACCAATCAAAGTGCTTTAACACTACATGTCATTCTCCCATTACATCACATTAACCTTAGAACAACTTGTGAGTGGCCATCAGCGAGTCGTGTGCTGAAAACGTTCAGAAATTGGCAAAGTGTGAACAAGCATATCTTTTCTGCCATTTCTGAAATTGTATGTACAATTTGTATCTTCTTATATCAAAGAAGTTGGTAATGAGACATGAAGCAAATTAACTTATGTAAGCTGAAAATTCAACATATGGACCTGGCATCGAACAGGTGGCAAATTATAGAAAAATTCAGATATTTCCGTACAAGGGTCAAGGGCTCACAAATGATTTGATCAACTGTGCAAATACAGGACCTTTGGTCTGCCAAATCAACCCAACTGAACACATACGGGAGACATTGGGCAACGTGTTAAACCAGTGATTCTCAACTGGTTGGTCACGACCAAAAAGTGGGTCCCGGACCTCTTTTCAGTGGGTAATAAAAATAAAAATCCTGTGCTTTTATTTTGAAGGCGGATTTTTTATGCAGCGGAGTTATTCACACTCCTTAACAGTATTTGGCGTTAACGCCTTGTAATGCTAATAGACACCCGCCATTTGACAGTATAGAAGAACACCCACACAGTTTCTTTTTATGTGCTAATTGAGCATGGCAAAACGCAAGTATGACACCGACTACATGACATATGGATTTTCTTACATTGAGGACAAAAGAGGGCAAAAACCTCAATGTGTTTTGTCCAGCGAGATTCTGGCACAAGAAAGCATGAAGCCGTCAAAACTGAAGCGGCCTTAGACAGGATAATGTGTCCACCTATTCCTTCTACTAGCTAGGGGTTGGAGGACAACCTGAACAAGTGGCCTCAGGTAACGTACACTCTTATATAGCACATTTTGCTATTTTATTGATTCTGTTGCAATTGATAGTGAAGTGATGAACAATCTGAAAAGCACTGAAGCTGATTAGTACTCTAATAATAATACAGTTAAGTGTGTTTAATTGAAGGAGATGAAACAGAGCCTTGTTTAACTTAAAGCAGACCTAAAGCCAACTCAGAGCACCAAAGTCCCACATCTAAGCTAAGCTTAGCTAAGCTAATATAATTTGTTACTGCTATACAAAGTCACTTCTTTAAGGGTGCCCTCTGGAAACAAGGGAATACAACTAGCCTGTCTCTACCTGCCCAACTACTTTCAATCTGTATACTAAGCTAAAATAACTCAGCTGCTAGATGTAGCTTCATATTTACCTTATCGATCTTGTCATTTAACTCTCTGCAAGTAAGTGAATTAGTTATTTTCCTAAATGTTTATTTTTTTTTATTTAAGGAGTGACAAGCGATGTTCCCAAATTATTTGCTTATTTATTTCTCTAAGAAAAGTGAAGACACCAGAAGCATACCGCTAACCAGATGCCGGTTTACTAAAAGGAATAGCAAAAATCATGCAAGGTATCATGGGATTACAAAAGTGGATTACAATGGTGCTGCCCAGAGGTATGCGCCAGTGGTCAGCAGTTCTTATACTGTGTAGACATT